ATCAACATATTCAATATCCAAATCAACCAAATCAATATTTATCCATCAACATATTCATCAAATCCAAATGGTTAAAACTCATGCATTATGGCTTACAAACCAAAAGAGTTAAACTTATGCCTTATGACTTACAAAAATACAAACACAATCCAAACATAAATGACAAAAGCGTTTGAGAAATTGAAAGGCAAGCGAGAGACAGAGAGCGAGAGAATGAAAAAAAAAGTTTATATTTCAATAGGGTACTATTCGGTACGGTACGGTATTGACCGGTATCAAAATCTTGATACCGCTACCATACCATACTCGATTGGTACGGTACGGTACGGTACCGAATATCTATCGGTACCAAATGAAACGGTATGAAATCGGTACGGTACGGTGCGGTTAGGGTACGGTTTCGGTATTTCGGTTTAAGATGCCCACCCCTAGAAGAAACACGACTAATAAATTGGCCAAATTGAATACAACACATCGTCACTAAATCGGGCCAAATGAGTTAAAGGCTTTAAGCAAAAAATAAAAAATAAGAACCTTTAAAATCAGTTTCGGTTCCAATTTAAAAGTATAAATTGGCTAATTAAAATAGTTCGAGTCTCAAGTTTTCAAATATATATAGACCAATTGACGGTAAGTATGAAGTTTAAGTTGAGGGAGCAATTGACAGATTGGTGAAACTGAAATTAGAAGAAGCGGATAACGCATTCTTCTGTTCTTAGTTGCCAAAGAGAAAAAACTGAAAATAAATTGAGGAACTGGAATGAATTCGTCACTCGTGTTTCGTCGCTTCTGGTGCTTCAATGCCGCAACTTCATCTTCTTCTTCTTCAGCTTCTTCTACTCTATGCTTCGCTTCCAACAAGAAGCCCCTCGTCTTCTTAGGCTCTCCTCAGGTCTCTTCTCTCTCTCTCTCTCTCTCTACATATATACATATGTGTACATTTGTCCTCATGATGACATAAAATGTTTACTTTTCTGAAGGTATCTGCAACTGTTCTTGATGCCCTTCTCAATGCATCCACTGCCCCGGACTCTTTGTTTGAGGTATTTGAAACAAAATTTCCTTTCGGCCGAGCTATATAATTGCCCCCTTTATTCTCAGCTTAAAATGGGATTTCTTTCTATTTTTCGGGCAAAATCTTTCGACTTTTTATTTTTTGTTATGTTATAAGGAACCGTATATCATCTAACTCTCATGTTTGGTCTTTAAGGGACTAAGATTGTTGTCCTTGTAAACTGATTTTAATTGAGGTTTCTAATAAAATGCAGATTGGTTGGCATGAAAAAATTGGCTTGGGATGCACTTATGGTGGCTTCATCTTAGGATGCCACTAGCATTTCTCATTTTGATGATTTTAGTGTTTGTCTTACGGGTTTGTACACAATTTAGAAGATGTGACTTGCCCTTTTAGTACATTATGCAGAAGGAGTGGTCATATTGGATGGTTAAAAATCGTAAATGGAGTAAGTTTTAATCAGTTTGGCTGTGTTGCAGTTATCCCTTTTCATTGTGTTGCTAGGTCATAAGGCATAGCTAAGAGATCGATTGGTTCAGTTTTATGTCAAACTTGTTAAAAGTTTGGCATACTGTGTATAGGTTTACTAATATTGGAATCCTTGAAGGAATGATCTTTCGTACACAAATAAAAAATAAAAAATCTCAGTAGGGACTCATCTTGCCCAGTAAAGAAGATGATACTATTTAGATTGTGCAGAAACACTAAGTAATTGCTTGCAGTATGAATGATGAATTTGTTGTGATGTAGGTTGCAGCAATTGTTACTCAGCCGCCATCCAGAAAGTCTAGGGGGAAAAAGTTGATGCCTTCTCCTTTAGCACAGCATGCTCTTGACAGAGGCTTCCCTTCCAACCTTATTTTTACTCCTGAACGGGCTGGAGAGGTAATTTTCTATCATAATTTGGTAGGAAATGATTTCCCTACTTATTCTTTCTTAGTAATCAATGTAGTCACTAGTAATGTAGTTAGGAGAACCCTTGACTGAACTGTAGGAATCTTCTATATTGGGGTGGTATTCCTGATGTGGAGATGCAACTTTTGCAATTCTAACGCTGAGGATCATAACTTCACAATTGTGACCATAAGCAATAACCTAATACTGCTTCTTTTTGCGCTGGAACAATTAAAAAAGGTTTCCATGCATTCCCATTGTTTCTAAAAGTTTCTTTCTTAGCATTTAGATGAAAAGGGTTCATTTTTATTTACTGTTTGTGCAGGATGCGTTCTTATCCAACTTAAGAGATTTGCAGCCGGAACTTTGCATTACTGCTGCATATGGGAATATTTTACCTAGCAAGTTTCTAAATATCCCGACATCGGGTTAGTTGAATCAACTTTCCTGAAAGTTTTGGTCTCTGCTACATATTAATTTCCATGAACATAAATGGGCCGGGCTTATTTGTTAAACTAATATATTTGTGTGTAACCAATTTATATTTGAATTCTGCGTTTGACTTTGGAAATTATGATTATCATCTGGGCATGCTTACCTGGAATGGGAACCATTTACATTCCTCCTCATTCCAACATTTATTTAGAGTAAAAGAATCAGGAGAAATGTGGGGTCCATCGATCCCCCATAAAATCAGGACACCCATTTTGGGGTTTTCAGACTTGGGAATGGGATGAACTGACCAGGAAAGAACACATTTTCTAATGATACAGCAGTTGGACCTGTCATTTTAATAATACCAAAAACATCATTATTAATCCATAACTACATACATGTTAGCAACGGGAAACAATTGCATCATGCATTTCATAGTCCTTCTGTTTCAATAGCACCAGGAATTTCTATTTCTATGCTTGTAGAAAAGTACTTTCAAAAAGTAATTATAAATATACAAAATTAGTTTGTAGAAAAAAAATTCTTGTAATAGTTATAGAATATTTTGGATAA